TTACCAATTATGAGAAACCATGTCAAAATAATTTTAAAATTCTTAATTAATATTAATAAACCAAAGTTGTAGAAACCAGTTTGGCTATAGGAACCTCCCTTATGGGATCTACTGTGACTATTACACTAGTCAAAATCCTATAAGTAAAGTACCTGCTTTGAGATTAAATGTGTTTGATGTTGAATTTACAATCACATCTGCCTCTTCTTTGGTGATATCTCCAGAGGCCACCTGGAAGATGATGGGACCAATCTTCATTTCATGCACTCCTAAAACAGGGCTGGAAAGAGTCCCATAGAAACCTGAAAAGAATACAAATGGAGTCCAGAACAAGTTGGCAACAGCAAGAATGACTTAGGTCACGTGCTCCTCATGTGTGCCCCTCTCATACTTCTTGCCCCCGCCGTGATCTCTGGCCTTTAACCTGGCCCTGACCCTGAGCCCCAGTGATGGTCTGCTTCTGAAAAAGGATTATAAAATATAATACATATCAAACATGGACTTCTGGTGCAGGCCAAGGTGAAGTTAGCCCACTAGAGCCCTCTTTTTCCTACTGATTACAACTGAGAATGCAGGACAAAGAAGAGAAGCCACTAACTGAGAACTAAAAAGTGAACAAAGGCAGGCAGATTGGGGAAGGGAGTCAAAATTGAAGAAGCAACCTCATACACTGCTGGCAAGAAGGCAAACTGGTGCAGCCACTATGGAAAACAGTTTAGAGAGTTCTCAAAATATTAAAAAATAGAAACACCATATGATCCAGCTATTCTACTACTGGGTATTTATCCAAGAAACATGAAATCAATAATTCAAAAAGATTTATGCACCCTTGTGTTCATTGCAGCATTATTCACAACAGCCAAGACACGGAAACAACCCAAGTGCCTATCAAGAGGTGAATGGATAAAGATGTGGTGTATATATATATACACACACACAATGGAATACTACTCAACCATAAAAAAAGACAAAATCATGCCATTTGCGACAATATGGATGGACCTCGAGGGTATTACGCTAAGTGAAGTAAGTCAGACAGAAACAGACAAATACTGTATGATTTCACTCATATGTGGAAGATAAACAAACACATAAATAAGAAGAACAGATTGGTAGTAACCAGAGGGGAAGGGGGTGGGGGGAGGGCCAAAACAGTAAAGGGGCACATATGTATGTGATGGATAAAAACTAGACTATTGGTAGTGAACGTGATGCAGTCTATACAGAAACTGATATATAATGATATACATCTGAAATCACACAATGTTATAAGCCAATATGACCTCAATAAAATAATTTACAAAAGAAGAAGCAACCTGCACAGGGGGAGCTTCCCCTTTTGTTTTAAATTTTTCCTCTTTCTCTCCCAGCTTTGACCCAAGGGTGGCCCTAGTTGCAAAAGTGCACAATGAGCAGAGGTAGCATAACTTTCAGAGAATCCCTGTCCTTGTGGTCAGAGGATTGGGAAGAGGGGTCCCTGTGAGCTAAAGAGTATGAGAGGGAATCTTCATTATTTTCTACATTTTCTCTTTTTTAATCCAGGCCCTGCCCCAAGGTGACTCCAGTTGCAGAACTCCACAGTGGCACCACAGGGAGCTACAACTCTGAGAGACATTCTGTATTTCTTTTTTTGTTTGTGAGGAAGATCAGCCCCTGAGCTAACATCTGATGCCAATCCTCCTCTTTTTTCTGAGGAAGACTGGCCCTGGGCTAACATCGGTGCCCGTCTTCCTCCACTTTATATGGGACGCCACCACAGCATGTCCCGACAAGCACTGCGTCAGTGCGCGCCCAGGATCGAACCAGCCAACCCCGGGCCGCCGCAGCGGAGTGTGCGCACTTAACCGCTTGCACCACCAGGCGGGCCCCAACATTCTGTATTTGTATCCAGAAGAATCAGGAAAAAGGACCCTCGTGGTCGGGGGTGTATATGTGTGTGGGGGGTGGAATCCCTGTTATTTATTTTTTTCTCTCTTTCCTCTCTCCACTTTGCCCAAGGGCAACTCTGATCATGCAAAATTATGAGGTGGCAGAGCAGGCAGCTTAAACTCTGAGAGAACCCTGTCTTTCTATCCAGAGGTCCTGGAAGATGGGCTCCTGCAAACCAGAGAGTGAAAGGGCAACCCTAGAGAGGGGAGAGCTGGAGCATGCGATCCCCTTTTATGTGTATGAGCGGGAATAAATTCTGAGCTCACCCCGGGGCTGCACACGTGGGGGCAGACCCAGCAGTGCAGCAAAGGCTTTGAGAACTGAACTGACAGTAGAACCGCTGCCCACACAGAAGCTGAGACAGAACCTTAGAATGAGCTCACCCGATTGACTGCCTGCTCAATCACCATCTTCCAGAGGATTTTAACAGGACCCAAGTCTCACAACATAATATTTAAAATGCCCAGCCTCGAATCCAAAATCCTTGTCACACAAAGAACCAGAAAAATGTGACCAATTCTCAAGGATAAAGACACTCAATAGAGATGTTAATCTCAGGATGATCCAGATGTTGGAAACATCAAACAAAGACTTTAATGGAAACTTTTTTTTTATTTTTATTTTTTTAATTTTTTGTTTATTGCAGTAACATTGGTTTATAACATTGTATAAATTTCGGGTGTACATCATTATACTTCTATTTCTGCATAGATTACATCATGTTCACCACCCAAATACTAATTACAACCCATCACCACACACTTGTGCCGAATCATC